TAGGACCAGACCTCTATGAAGTGTAGAGGTCTACAGGACCTGACAGGCTGTCTTCTTCTGTCATTCCAAACTGCTGTAAAGGGAAAGACCCATGTTCATTGCAATGTAATGGTTAAAAGCTTCGTCTGCAATCCAGTAATTTTGCTTGTTGTACAATGTCCTGAGAATTCTCTTTTATTGCATAACTTTTCTTCAATAGTGAGAACAATTTCCATAGTCAGTCACTTTATTTAACCCGTTGAATAGCCAAAGTCATAATATAGTATCCTAGTAATATACCCTGAGCCTCTCAGCTACTCAGTTATACAAATATAAATTCATACAAATATAAATCTCTATCTAGAGAGATTTTCATTTATACAATCCCATAGAAAACACCAAAAATGTACCCCATGAAAATCAAGAGAGACTCATGCAGGCTTAAAACTTTATACTGCATACTATAGACAGATTTTACCCAAGACACATAGGTAAAAGCTTAAATAGAAACATACACTTTTCAAAGTAAGCTTGTTCCAGGTCTTGATATATATACAAGCCCCTAGACATAGGTCTGGAAAGGTGGGTGGTTGACTGGGAAGAGCAGAAACAGTAGACCGTAAGGTGAGCCCAGGGCTCTGGGGCCGGTGAAGCTTCTCTGCGTCCCAAGAGGGTAAGCAGGCCCTGTAGTTGAACTGTTTTGGTATGGGCCACTTGCAAAAACATTCAATATTTCCCTTCTAAGATATGGTAAGCCAAAATATATATATGGAAAGTTCACAAAGTCATTGGTAAATAATCCAGTGTTGACTTTTAATTTAGAAATAACTGGCCAAATTAATCCCAGCCTCCCCACTACGGCTTCCCCCCGTAGCATACAGTGATTTATATTACCTTATTGTTTTCTCTCATTGTTTGTCTTTCTTTTTATTATTTTATTTTCCTCCTGGTGTAATAGATGACTGAAGACTTGGAGCCTTCATGATTTTGTGTATTTTGAGCTCATAAATTCCTGCTCGCTGTCATCTCTGTCATAATATGCCGTCTTTTACAAGGCATGTGTTATACAAAGAATCTTTTGAGTGATGTGTAATACACAGAAAAGGACAGGAAACCCTAACTGTACCGTGTGATGTGTTTTCTCAGGATGAACACAGCTGTGTAGCCAGTGTCCAGATCAAGAGACAGAATAGTACTAGCACCTCGAAAGCCCTCTTGGTGTCCTTCAGAGTCATACCACCCCCACCATCGTCGCCATCCACTATTCCAACTTCAAAACCAAGTATTAGCTGTGTCCACATTTGACTTTTATATGAATGAAATCATATAGTAATTTTTCAGTGTCTTGTTTCACATTATGCGTCCAAGACCAATTACCTGTGCAATACCTAGATCATTCTACTTGCTAGATGATATTTCATTGTTTGCCTGCCACAATTTACCCATTTTGCTGTTGATATACATTAAAATTATTTTGAGTCTTTGACTACTAAGAGTTCTACTTTTATGAACATCTAGTTCATGTCATCTAAGGAAAACATGCATGGGTTTCTATTGTGTAGGAGAAAAATTTCCAGGACATGGGGCATGATGGATATGCAGCTTTAGCATATACAGTCAAAGATTCTTCCTAAGTGATTTTGCCCACTTATATTACCACAGAAGTGTATGGGGCTTTGAATTGCTTGATCTTCTGAATATTAGCTATCCTAAATGGTGGTTTTAATTCTGGAAATTTTGATTTGAATTTTTCTAATGATAGTGAGATTGAGTACTTCCCCAAATGCCTGTTGGTCATTTTAACATCCTCTTTTTTTTTTTTAAGTGCTGGTTGAAATCTTTACACATATTCCTATTGATATTTATCTTCTTATTATTGATTTGTGGGAAATCTTTATATATTCTAGATACAGATTCTTTGACAGATGTATGTATTACTAATTTTTTTCCTCAGTCTATGGCTTGGCTTTTCACTCTCTTTAGTGATTCTTAATTTTAGCATAGTATTATTTTACAAATGACCTTTATTACCTGTTTTACAAATTCTTTGCCTGTCCAAAGATCATGCAAAGATATCCCACTTTTTTTTTCCCTGAAATCCTTAATATGTAGGTTTCACAACTTAGTTCTACAGTCAATCTGGAATTATTTGATAGAAGGAAGTTAAACAGAGGTCAAGACCTGGTTTTCTTATTTTCCATATGGATATTCAACTGAGGTGCTGGATGAGGTTGCTCTCCTCCAGTTGGGTATCATCTTACCTTCTGGTAGTTTGATAGAGTTGAGGACATACATTTTATTTGGAAAGGACTGAGGTGATTTAACTCATCTGCTACTTTGTATGACTCTGTGGATCTCTGGTTTGCCCCCTCTTCATGGAGGAACCCTCAAGGGTCCCAAGACCTTTCTCCTCCTCTTCCATCTTCTGTTTCTGTTTTATCAAAGTATAATTTACACGTCTTAGAATTCACTCTTTTTCTGGACAGTTCCACAAATTTTGATTGATTCTTAAAGTGGTGTAGTGACTGCCACAAATAGAACTACACGATAGTTCTGTGGATCCCCAAAGGCTCTTTTCCTTTGAAACTTAAAAAGTTTTTCCTGCTTGACTCTATGAGACTGCTTAAAAATATGGCTCTTCCTCTCCGAAATGTTCTGCTTTCCTTTTTACTCTCTTCCATGATCTTGCCTTTTGTATATTAAGCACAACCAATGCCTCAAGGGGGGAATCCCTGAATGGGAGATCACTATTCCAGGCCCTCCTTCTCTCCAGGAGGATATTGGCTCCCGCAATCCTGGTTATTGCAGACGGTCTCTGATGCCTTCAAATAAATTTTGAGTATTTTTGAAACTTATCCAGATTTTGTAGTCATTCCCAGGGAGAACACTGGACTGCCACAATCTATTCCATTAAAGGCAAATACCTAGGTCTGTCTATCTACCTTCGACACACTCATTAAACTCCCCGTCCATAACATTTTGTAATAAATTTCAAAAGATCAATGTTGGCAGCTATGACAACTCCACGTACTCAGTCATGGTGAGAGCTTGGAGCAAGACAAATCTGGGTTTTAATTCAACTCTCTCATTTGTCAACGAAGTGGCAATGAATCTGAATCTGTTTCTTCACTTTCAAATGGGGATAATAAAAACAAGTAGTCTCACAGCTTTCTCATGAAAATTATATCACAGATATCAATTATCTTGTACATAGTAGTCATCCAATAAATTATAGATATTATCATGTGATACATTATCATTTAGCTCTGATTAATACACTTTTTTTCTCAGAAGTGATGGAGATAGAAGTTATTAACCCTAAAAAGCAATACTCATCACTGAGCACCCCTTAGAAAAGAGGGGTTCAGTTGACATTTTATCCATATCTGCAGGTTTATTCACAGATATTAAGACAAATACAATACATTTTTCCTTAAATTATCTCATATATATATATATCTCCCATCTCAGTTGAAGGGCTCTTAAAATTCTACTTCAAATGCTTCATGTTACAGATGAAGGAAGCAAGAGGCCAGGAATGATTAAATGACTCGTTCAAGGTCAGTTCACCCATTGATATTCATTGGAATGACCCAGATTCCCTAAGATCCCATATTTCCTGTCTTCTAACATACTTTTAGCTCCCATATTCAACTATAAATGTAAAACAGAGACAAATATTAATGTTTTATTGTTACTGGCTTATTCTAACTAAAACCCAGGGATCTATTTTTAAATATTTTATTTTAATATCCATCCCCCAAAATTATGTGATCCCCTGCCAACTAAGACTGGAATCGCTACTTACCATTCCTTTCCCATTCTGAGGATTGTGTTCTATGGCTTTTCATTCGATTGTAAAGAAATATTTTGCCTTATCATCAACACCGAAGAGTAAAAGGAGCTCATGTAAACCCACAGAAAGCAGCTCTCTTCAAGTTACCAGGTAAACAGGGGAGTGGGGGAAACTCTGTTCTTCCAGGATCTAGATGCAAGGTGGCCCTGTACATTCTCTATGGGCAGGGACAGGTCACCAAACATTGCTACCCTCATGATTTCCAAAAAGGCAACCCTTTTGAGAACAATTTTTTTTGTAAGCTCTCTTTGTTCAACACATAATTTGATGTGTTGGACATATGGGCCTGAATCCCATTGGGACTGAATAACTTGGACAACTTGTGTGATCAGAGCGCATGGTCATCTCACTGAAGCCTCACGCCACGATTCTCAAGGGCTCCACTACTGGATCACTCTTCCCCAGATCTTTACATAGATGACTCTTACCTAGAAATGTACTCTTCAGAGAGACCATCCCTCACTATCTGACGGAGTGCATTTTATGCTGCCACAACAGAATACTACAGACTAGAAATTTATAAAGAAAAGACATTTATGTCTCTCAGTTCTGGAAAATGGGAAGTTCAAGATCCAAGTGCTGACATCTGGTGAGAGCCTTCTCACTGTGTGACACAAGAAGTCGTCATATGGCGAGAATGTGCTCGGGTCTCTCTTCCCATTAAAAAGCCACTAATCCCATCATGGGGCCCCATCCTCATGACCTCATCTCACCCTAATTGTTAATTCCTGAAGGTTCCACCTCCAAATATTGTCAACATTTTAATTTTGGAGGTAAATTTCCAACATATGAACTTTGGGGGCACAGTCAAACCATAATACTATTCAACCTCCAGTGGCCCCCAAGGGATCCTCTATCACATCCTATTATTTTATTTACTCACTATCAGAAACAGGTGTTGTATGTGGCATGGTGGCATATGACTCTAAATTCCCAGTGGCCCAAGAGGCTGAGACAGGAGGATGGCAAGTTCAAAGCCAGCCTCAGCAACTTAGCAAGAGCCCATTTCAAAATAAAAATTTAAAGAATTAAAAGGGAGGATGGGGATGTGGTCCAGTGTCTAAGCACCCTTGGGTTCAATCCCTGGTACCAAAACCAACAAACAAAAAAACCCACATGTGTAATATGTTTAGCACAGGACCTCATACACACACACACACAAAAAAAAAAAACTCAAATAGTTATTATTGTAATTTTCATAATGTATGTAGAGCAAATTATGAAATGAGAATTGGTTTGTAGAAATAGTAATGTTGAAATCAAGAGGCCCTAATGCAATTGTGTAAGGTAAAATTTTAATTACATTCTTCTTTAGTCTATTCCTCTTGTTTGCTATAAAAGTATCTATGTTCAAAAAGGTTTTCTCATTTAACATTTGCAATAATTTCCTGATACAGTAAGTAACCCTTTGAGATTCATTCCTCCTTCCAGTTCCACAGCATCCTGTTGCAAAGGGGCATCTTTCTGAGAACAATTGTGGTAGATATTTAAAGTATGATTTTTAACCTCTTTTTGCAAAGAGGTACTGGCAATGTCTTTCCATTTGAATAACCCAGGAAAATGCTACTTTCCATCTGTCATGCTACTGAGTGGCTTAGCTGGAGGTTTCCTAAGGGTTCTAAGAAAATACAACTCTTGCAGAGCTGGAAATCTGATTGAGGGGAGAGAATCCTTCCTTTCCTTTTCTTACACCTCAGTTCTTCCACAGTGAATATTTTATATTAAAGCCATTTCCTCCCACCACTGATTAGATGGTTAAGTCAAAGGAGCAAGAAATAGTGCTTGGCTGTTGGCCACTGACTGAGACTGGGAGAAGGGGAAGAAAAAAGGGATCATTTCCCTGGTGGGTCCAGCTCTCTCTCTCCCTTCTGTCTAGGAAGAGATCTTTTGCCCCTGACCATGTCTGGTCTAGACTCAGCTTGGCTCATAGAGAACTTTGGCAACTGCTTCTGAGCCAAGACAGCGAGAGTCTACGTGTTGGACATTTCACAAAGAGCTCTGGGTTGGAAGGGCAAAGTGAAGGATGGTTGACCTGAGGGTCCACTCAGTCATGGACTTGAAGTTGCAACGTAAATGATGGTAGAGAAAGATCTTGAGAGCTTCATCCGCTTCCTGGCCCTCAGACCTGGAATCTGAAAAGAGAAAAGAGTTATCTGAAGACAAATTCCACTTTTATTTTACTTTGCCCCTGCCTTTAAGTTTTCTCTTTAAAGCCTTCTGTCTCACTAATAGAATAGTTCATGAAACTATGGTTTCTACCCATTTATAGCATTTTCTTTCTCTTTTCTGTTTAATAATTTCCAAATTTTAAAGTAAAAATACTGAGGGACTTATGAGCAAAGAAAGGAAAACTAGTTAAATAAATATTGACCTTGTCAGAGCATTGGTAGAACTATACAAACTTCTCCACCTCATCATTTAAAATAATTCAGAAGAATTGTTCAGGAGAATAATCATTGTATTGACTGTCTTTAAAATGTAAATGCACAATAGCTATTTCTACCCCAACCTTTATTTCCCCCCTTAAAGTCCTAAGTAATAATAGTAGCTGAGAGAGAACTAGAATTTTAAAATATATAGTCTACATGTACTAAAATTCATTTTACTTAATTGTATTTTAATCCTCTCTTTATTCCAGGTATCAAGAAAACATTTCAACACCATCCCGCTGAATTCCATAAGGCTTGGTGATTAACCAGCAGGCTCAGAAGTGGAAGTGGACCTCTGACTGCCAACCTGTGAGTAGAGTCTGTGTGTGTTTCTCTGGGCTCTGCTCTTAGCGGTTACACAGCCTCTCTGCCTGATTTTTTTTTTTTTTTAATATTTCTGCTCCTAAAGATGCATTGTGAGAAACCAGTCTTCCTGCTATGCCCCTCCTAGTTTACTTAACACTTACCAGTTAGAATCTATTCAGTTTTGCAGGAATTGTTTTCCTATTTTATAATCTGATTTTCTGCTTCATTTTAAAATGTTTCCTGCATGTGTAATGGCTTAGAAGGATCTTGATCAGTATTGAAGTCTTCATTCACTGTGAATAATGCTGATGGCTTGAGGAACAGAGAGGATGAGTCAGTCATTAGGGTCAATAAGCTCGTTTTTGTGGAAACGCTGGTGATTTCAGGAGCAATAAGCACCCCTGTCTTTCATTGGATTCCCTCGACTGGGAGTGGAATGTCCCTCAGCAGAAGGACCACCTGGGGAGCAGAAAGAGGGGATTGGGAAGATAAAGGAAGGAGAACCAAAGGAAACTTCCCTCACTCAGTTTTGGGGGAATTTAGCACAGTTATCAGGAAATTCTTGTTTCAGGATCATATGAGTTGTTCCCTGTGCTGGTTTACTTGGCCTGCCACAGCAAAATTCCACAGACTGAATTAGAAAACAGATTGTTTTCTCACAGTTCTGGAGGCTGAAAGTCGAGATCACTGTGCCAGCAGAGTTGATTTCTTCTGAGGCCTTTCATGTAAATGGCCGACCTCTCGGTGTCTTCACATGATTGTTCCTCTGCAGACACCTGTCTGGTGTTTCTGTGTGCAAATTTCCTGCTCTTGTAAGCGAGTCAGTTGGATTAGGTTCACGTCTTGAAAGAGCTTATCTCAAAATGTGGGTTCACTCAAGACCATGGGAGTTAGGACTCCAATATGTGAACTTAAGGGGAACACAGTTCGTCCCCAACACCACCATTATCATTTTTTCTCTCTCTAATAGCTGATTTTAAGTTTATTGCATTTGGACTTCCCTCTTATTTTCCTCTCATGCAGTCGCCTAGCATTTACATCACACTCAGAGCATGTGGGTTTTCCATAGTGTGTATACAGCTGTCACTCCCCTGTAGCATTATTTGATTTCTGAAGTTGGAAGATGTACCTGTTACATCTCTTCCAATACTAGAGGAAGTTTTGTATACAGTAGTCATTTAATAATGACCAAATGAATGAATACAGGGCTAGATGATTAGATGCAGCCTCTGAACCTACAACTTATTTGCTCTAAGTTGTCTCTAAATGATGAGCATCCAACGGCCTTTCTCCTCCCTTGCTGCTCTTAATTCAAACAGGGAGAAATAAGTCAAGGTCGGGAAATAGGTCGAAGGAAGATGTGATCTGCTGACGTCATTAGTGTTATCCTTCTCCTCAGAGAGGCACGAACATTCCCCTGATGAGGTTGCCCTTCTGGGAAGGATGATACATTTAGATTGTGACTTTGTGGGTTTGAGGGCCTCTGGGACTTCCAAGGGCATGTGTCCAGAAATCAAGAGAGACACAAGTAAGAACCAGGGAGAGAGATTTTCACAGTCCCAAACTGTGGACAGGAAGTGACAATGTGTCAGTAGATGAGGACATCATGAAGACTGTGTGAGGGGAGAGGAGCAGTGGCATAAAAATATCATCAGAAATTGTAGGTGGAAAGTTTTCCTGATAAGTAACAGAAGGACCCTCCCCAGAGGAAGAAACCCACATACTACTTCTATCAAGGGTACCTAAGAACATGGGTATTACCTGTGTTTCTCATCCCTTATTTCTTTGGACTTATTTTGTTCCTTTTTTTTTTGCCTCTTTTCTGGGGGCTATGTCCCAAACCATTCCTGTGAGTCTCGCCCCACCCCCTGACTGACACGTGGTCAACTCCCCTGCCCAGGGGCTCTTATATGACAGTCCTTTCTTTCAGGACCATTTTCTTCATCAACCAAGCAAAGTTGATCAAAATGGATGGTGGGGGAGGCCAAGATTAGACCTAATGACCAACAGAGACAGGTCCTTCTCAGTGTTATGTGCTGGTGACTCAGTTGCCACAGAACATCATCTTGTCTAGATAGTCAGTAAGGGGCCCAGTTGGGAGAGAAAGTTCTTTTTTTCCACTAACTCCCCTCCCGCTTTGGCCATTGTTCCTTCTTATCTCACCACTCCACCTGTTCTCTAGAGTAGGCTTTGGCTATGTTTTAAGTTCTCACTGCTGTTGACCAGGATAGGTCTAGTGGACAGTGGGAGAGCCAAGCCATGGGTCATGGCAGCCAGGATGAGCCTCTCCTCTCTGGGCTCCACCACCACCTGTCATTCCTAATGTGGCCATATTTGCCCCACGACCGAATTTCCCTGAGTATAATGCAAATAAGAGGAGGAATGGCATTTATTCATTTTTCTGTTGTTTCCAAAGTGTTCTTTTCCTTTAATTTTTCTTTTTGCATCTGCCCACCCCTTTTTTTATTTCCTTAGTTCTTTCTTAAGCAGAAAGGCTTGAACTTTTAGGGAGTTGTGTGAATATTAGCAGAAATGGCTATCAGAAGTCTGGAATCCTCCTCCTCCTTCTCTGTAGGCCATCATACATTTATTTTTCAGATGAAATTTGAGACACCAGCATTCAAGCCCCTACATCTATACTTTCCCCTGTGTTCTTGAAGTAGTTCAGCAAAAGATGCCTGTTGTCTTAAAGGTCCCTAAAATGTTGCTGACACCTAAGTCAGTGATTTTATGCAGACTGATATTTATATACAATGAGAACTTCTGAAGGCACAAGGAAACAGTTCTGCAATCCGTGAATGGCCTAGTGGGGGCGTTCCAGTGAATGATGGCCAGTGGCCAGCTTAGGTGCCTCCTGACTGTGTTTCATTATTTTTCAGTCAGCTGAAGGGCGTGGAGGAAAAAAAAAATCATTTTCCTATGAGCATGTAAAAGTAGTGCTTTTGAGTTGTAAGCACCTAGCCGGCTTTGCCCTTGTTTTAGAACAGCATAAATGGGAGATTTTATAACCACTGTGGGCCAATATGTTTGGAATCAGTTGAAGCTCCAGATGGGGTGGAAAGAGAAGTTCAGGGCTTTTTTCCTCCTTTTTTCTTGAGTTTTACAGAATAAGCCTCCTTGGACACCCTTAACAAAGTGCTTGGTCTCTTCTCTAGTTCAAGTGTGCCCAGCTTATCAGAGCTGGATCTGAAGAGGTCTTTGTTAAACTAAGACCCTTTACTATGGATTCCTGTTGGTGATTGTGGAACCAGGCTCCGTGTGGAAAGGCCTGGAACCCACTCTTTCATCCAGGAGTCTCCCCTCAAGGAAATTATTCCCAGGATTCTCATCATGAGATACAAGAAGGAAAGTTTGTTTAGGGATTGAGGGCACACGAGGAACACAGGTTCCCAGGGACTTCCCAGCATTTCAGAAACCTTTGTGGTAAGGAATGCTGGGAAGCATATATTCAGTCACTTACTGATTCTTTCATTGCAGTTCATCACATGCAGACTTTGTGATTTTGGCTAAATGATGGAGCGTCCCTGGCCCAAAACTGCTCCTGGCCTTAGGAGGCATCTCCACAAAAGCATACCTCCCTCCTTGGCACGGCTATTGACAGAAGGATATTGCACCAGGGTGGGCAAGCCGCAGTGGAGGCACAGAAAATAGGGAGAAAAGCAGACACTGGTGGTAGGAGCTCTTGTCTAGAACTCCTCTCCAGCCCTTTGTCCCCATAAGAACAAGTGAGTATGCAATCAAGAGAAAGGAAGGAGTGTGCTGTTTAGCTTTGAACCCGAACTATCAAAAGTCTTACCTGAAATTCAAGCTGTGAAACCATTTTTATAGTTAAAGGATGCAGACTCAACTACTTCCAAACTCTGCTATAGGAGGCTCAACAAAATTAGATTGTGAACCTCTTGCATGACTCAGTACAACAATGTTCCAGTAGGATTTAAGTAGAACAACACTCAATCCAGGGGGGAAAAAAACAGAGACATTTTCCTTCCTACTATTCTCTCTCCCAGGTCTGACAATGCCAAATTAGCCTAGATTTTTTTTTCTAAATTGACTTTTCCTAGAGGAAAAGACAATGCTACATTCCCTGAAACAGATATTTTAGGTTAAACTTATTACTTGAGGGTTTTCCGCCCCCCTCCCTTTTGCTAATTCAAAACAAAATGTCCATCATTCATTCTCACACCACCAGCCTTTAAGAGCTAGAGACAAATGGAGTCTGAATATTCACGCCAATGTGGTACAAATGAGCTGTGATTTCAGAATACTGGCTGTTTCACTGACAGGGAAAAAGAGTGGTTTAATATCTTTGGCTAAAAACACTTTCTTAAAGAGGAATGGAGAAGGCCAACATTAATATTGAGTCCTGTTATTTAATAACTAAAAATGATATATTGTGGAATGGGGCATCCTGAGTTGGGGGGAAAGTGTGTTTATCAAAACCAGAGAATGCAGTGGGGGAGTGAGTACAGACACATGTGGGACTCAAGGAAGGAGCTCTCCTAAGATCAGTCTTTCCAGTTCTTCCAAGAATTCCTCCCATACGTGTATGAGACCATGATTTGGGGTTTGATTTTATTGCAGATTTACAAAATATATAAATGCACATGGTCCCTGGATTACGATGAGTCCATTTAGGATTTTTCAACTTTACAATGGTGCAAAAGCCATATGCATCTGGCAGAAGACATACTTCAACTTTTACTTTTGGATCTTTTTCCAGGCTAGCAATATGTGGTCCAGTATGCTCTGGCAGTGCTGGATATACCACAGCTTTTAGTTGGTCCCAACATCATGGATGCAAACAACTGACACACTACAGTATACTGTGCTGCTAGGCTAGGATGTTTTGGAGGTTATATGTAGTAAATGCACTTTCAATTTATCGGAATTGGTTTATTGGAATGTAATCCCAGTGTAACTGGAAAAGCATCTATCGGAAGTCATTTGTTATAATGAGACACTCTGGAGACCTGTCTAACTGCTTCCCCCAGATTAATGACTAATAAGTTTATAAACTAAAGATGCAATTGTAAGTTGAGGTTGATAAGGGAGGCTTGTGACCATCATTAGCAGCGCCTTCGTGAAGCATATATTCAGTCACTTACTGATTCTTTCATTCAACAGGTATATGTATACATACTGAATTGGAACTACTCCATCCCGGGTGCTATTTTAGATCTGAGCTCCAATTGCAATTCTTTTACATTTTCCTATAAGAGAAATGTTTCTTTTTTTTAAAAAAAAAAAAGATGCAGGAGAAACTTTGGTAAATCTAATAATATGTGCATTGTTGTAAATTGTGATGACTGGTATTCTTTATTTATTTTTCATTGGCCTTGTCTTGGCAAAAGGTCATAATATTTTAAATTATCTCTGCCCTCTCATTTACCTATCATACTTAATTATATGGTTTATAGGCAGAAAACAATATTGCAATGGATTAACCATATCTATAATTCTACTTTTCTACAAATCACTTCAAAGAAGATGCCTAATTGCCCCCTACATTATTTACTTGGTAAGTTCTGGTTTTCAAGTAACATTAAAAAAAAGAGAGAAATATAATTATAGTTTCAAAGTAATTGAAATGAAAATCAAAGTAAAGCTACTGGGACATTATTATAAAATGCTCCTAAGAAACAAAGGTGAGACCAGACAGTGATTCACCACAAATCCAGTGGGACATCAGTCCACCATGTGGATCCAGGGGCAGGACCCTGCCATAACCCCAGTCCTCACTTTTTACATTTAATTTTGTATTCTCTTTCTTTTTTATTATTTTATTTTTAGTTGTTGATGGACCTTTATTTTTTATATGCTTATTTTTATGTGGTGCTGGGAACTGAACACTGTGCCTCACACGTAGGAGGCAAGCGCTCTACCGCTGAGCTACAACTCCAGCCCCTGTATTATCTTTCTTAAAGAAGACCTCTCAAATAATCTTCTGGTCCCACCAAACCTGCATCTACCCTGAAACTGACACAGATAAACTTAGATGATTTAGTTTCATGTCTAAAGTTAATTAAGTCGAGAAAACAAAGAAATGGTCCAAGTGGGAAGGACGGTGATTCATTTAAAATTTTTTTTTTGGTAGAATTCAGCTTGTTTTCTAAAGTGAGCCCCACTTAAATGAAATAATAAATCGGTATGCCAAAGCACAAATGCACATAAACAGGAGGTTCATTTTTACCTCGTTAATAAAGATCTAGAATGTGCTTACCCCCATGTCAGGCAAGCCAAGCCCTGATGGGAAGCAGCTTCCTGGGAAGACCATTGGTAGAAAAACCTTCCCAGCCCACACAGGATCACTGCATCATCAAGGTCCTTGTCACTGTCTACCTTGTATGATCCACTTACAGGTCTTATGAGAATTAGCGTAGTCTTGTAATTAAAATCACAGAGACCGGATTACCTTGATGTTGCCTTAATATTTTTACCTGTAAAATGAGAACAGTGAGGATCATTATAAGAATTTAAATTGATATGTATAAAGTTCTCAGAACTGTGCTTGATCCTTAGCATTACATAACTGCTGACCCAATAGTAAATCTCTCCACCTAGATTATAAGCTAGTATGGAATCACCTGTGAGTTCACCCTTGTGACTTCTTACAGTGCCTAGGCTGGTGTGTGATCATTTATCAGTGAAAGACTGTATCCATCAATGTTACAAACCAACAACTGCATGCCCATGTTGCTCTGCAAATGTGCTTCCTTTGCACAGCATAAGCTTTGGAAAAATCTGAATTTGTTCCTAGTGGTGGTATTCTCTGTTTTGCCAAAGACCACCACTCCCAAAGTATTGGCTTTTCTTATTCTTTAAAAGCATTTGAGTTTGTCATGTCTGTAATAAATGAGTGATCATGTAATACGCAAACACTCTCATTTTATGGCTCATGAGAGTGATCAAATGGAACCAATGAGAAAGTGAAATATCAGTCCTTTCTACAGCCCTTTCTACTCCCTGATGCTCAACACCAAGTAACCTAGCTATCCCTATTTCTATACTAGAAGTCACAGAAGGGAAATAGAAAACAGGTAAGTGGAGTAGGTACTTGTTTAGAAGTCCATTATCTAGTGTTGGAGTTGATCAAACCGTATCACAAGCTAGGTCATCTCAGCAACTTAAAGACAGTTGGTTTGTCACCACCACTGAAGAGGTAGGGGTCTGTGGTTCACATCTCTGCCATCGATACTCAGGGACACCTGCTGACAGCTACTTTTGAAATATTGCCAACCGCGGAGGACAGGGAAAAGATCTCTGAAGGTCTCACATTGGCAAGTCTATCCAGAAGAAACATAATACTTGTGTCCTTGGTCATCAGTCAGAACTGGTCACTTGGCCTCCAATGACTACAAGGGTCCAGGAAGTTCCCAGATGGGCAAAACAGGATCAGGGACAACTAGCACAAGTGACCATAGCTGTGGCAACATTTGGAAGTTGGAGTCTCGAGCCAGGCTTCTTAAGCTTTTCAATAAATTCAACTCTATTATACTTTCATGCATCTGTAAATGCATGGCAAAATATTCAGAACTATTGGGGGATATCAGGTGATATAAGCCCTAAGATGAGCAGCTTCAGAGTCAGTCAAGAGAAAGAGAAGTTAACATTTGAATAACAAAGCCATGTAGTATGAAGCACCAAAAAGGACATTGTCAACCACCAGTAGACTCTGAAAGAAAATGGTTCTGGGATAAAGATAAGACTTGAATGAGATTCTAGAAAAATATATCAGATTTGCAAAAAGATTGGAGGGCACTTCCTGTTCCAGGAGAGAGGAAGCAGATGCAAAGGCCCAGAGGCAGAAATGAAGGCTAAATCATTGCAAGACTCAGGAGTTTGACATGTCTGGTTGTGTGTATATGAGAGTGGGATAAGAGGAATCAGGTGATAGATACAGTGTAAGCTTCTGGAGTCTACAGAAAAGCAGGATGGTGATGTGTGGGAGGAAGATTATCTTTTCCCAGAGCCCCCTCCAAAGCCAAAGTCCTTATACCTCCAAGGCACGAACCCTGATGCTTATTCCCCAAACCAGGAGTCCTAGATGACTAGCAGCTTCCCAGATCTAGGAGACAGTCACTGAACAGAGACAGCAGTAAACCTCAAGTTGCTCCTGCTTCCAGTTTAAGTCATGCTTGGTCACTCTTCCTGCTGACAAGAATATCCAAGTTGAAGTGAAATAGTCTCTCATTGCTGGGGTCAGTTCAGTCTTCTTGCTGTGTAACATCTGGTTTTGAAATTCAGCTGAGACCCTGACTTAAATCTGTTTAACTTAAAAAGCAGCAAGAGAACATCTTGTTTTCATGAATGTCCAGGGGCTGTGTGTCAACAAATAAAAGGTCTGTTTGTGGTATTCAAAGTGGAAAAGCTGGTCGTGAGAGGTTCTGCCACTGGGATAAATTTATTATGAACTGCTCATTTCTTGGAATCATGAACCAAAGTTTGAAAACACAGTGGACCAGCTTCATTGAAATCAGCAAATTTCTTCTTGATGGTGGGTAAGAAACTTGCTTTTATTGTTAGAAGGCCACTGAACTGGATGGATCTAGAAAGATGCCCTCTTTCCTACCTCCTATTCAATTTACTTCTTCAATGGATTCCCTGTATCTGCATAAATTCTGGAAGATAGCATTTAATGGATCGTTATTTTTATATTACGTACATAGGACCTGCAGTGGGAGAGAAGGGGATAAGAAGAGTTCATCATCCTTCAAACCTGACTAGTTACTTGCCTCCTATCTGCTTCTTTAGGAGAGAGAGTAGAAAGGAGATTTTTCTCCATGGAGAAGAGTGAGTGTCCAGGACACCATAGGTGTCCAGTTATATTTGATAAATTAATACAAACTCTAGTCTTACAAATTTATGTTTTCTTTATGAGTGCATGTCTGTATATGTATTAATATTATGTTTGTTTGAAAAAAAAGCTGTTGGCATTCCTGTCTTACTTTAACACTGAAGAAACCACACTGAAGATTTCATTGTAACGATCCTTGCCTCAACCACTCTTGATTATATCTGGATTGAAACACAGTGAAGAAGACAATGGAGCTTATAATGCAGTTGTGTGGGGGCTTTTTGTATGATGATATTCACATTCCTTTGGCCAAATACTCCCTGTATCACAAATGCCTGCTGAAGGTCTAACCATCTCTATTTTCCCAATTTAAAGTTGTCAGACAACATCTTCCAATAGAGCAGCTGACCAGTATTTAGACATGGTAGTCATTTAGGATTTTTTTTTTTTTTTTAAAGAGAGAGTGAGAGAGAGGGGGACAGAGAGAGAGAGAGAGAGAGAGAGAATTTTAACATTTATTTATTTTTTCTTAGTTCTCGGCGGACACAACATCTTTGTTGGTATGTGGTGCTGCTGAGGATCGAACCCGGGCCGCACGCATGCTAGGCGAGCGCGCTACCGCTTGAGCCACATCCCCAGCCCCTCATTTAGGATTTTTTTAAATCTCTCAAAGAGTTAATTCATTCCAGTGGTATTGAACTTATAACTTTAGCCTAATTAGCAAGAAATTCCTGCCCACCAACCTAGCTGGCAAAGACAGTAAATAAGATGCCTTGATACCAGGTGGGCATACAGTCCAAAGTCCACTTTCCCTTTTCCAGTTGTCACTGTGCACCTTCCTGATGGCCAAGCAGAATATGAACTCTTCAGCTTGAGTGGGAATGAAATGGGTTAATTTTACTTTGTTTTGCTTTGGCTGCCTGTGTAGACAGGGTTGAAAAGGGAATGATTTGTGAGTTCCAAAGGATCCCAAGAGACATGCTCATTCATTTACAAGAGGTATGATTCCACAATAGTTTTTTTGCTTTGTATGTTTGAAAACATTCCCAAAGAAACAAAGTTGGATGCAAAAAAAAATATTGGGAGAAAAGAAAAATAATACTCCAAAATTCTGAACAATTCTACTTTAATAGGTTGATCTGTCTGCCAGCTGGCCTCAGGGTTGACTACTTGTAATATATACTTTTGGTAGGCCACATGTAGTTCTTGGAACTGTTTATATCAGGCTGCAGAAACTTAATTATTCTAAAATTGGCAGGGATTGCTTTGATTACTTAATTCAAAATTGCTTAGTCATCTTTATACTTAGTGTGGACAGCTTTTGTTTAAGTGTGAAAATTTGGAAAACACAAGTGTGCTCCAAAAAAGATTTTAGGTCAGGTAGAAAAACAAAAAAGGGCCTTTTTTTTTTTTTTTTTTCAAGATCCTTGACAGGTGGTCACCACATGTTTTAATTTGACAAGCTAGGTAACTGTCGAGTTAAGGTCCTTAATTACAACTATTTTTCTGTTTTCTTTGTGGATGTTTGTCCGAAGTAAAAGTTGCCGCCATTGCTTCTGAAGCTGTGGTCTGATCCTACATTTTGCAAACTACAGGTTTTCCAAAAAAAAAAAAAAGAGTATGAGGAAATCTAGAATCAGCTTTCTTATTCTCCGAAACAAACCAGGTTGTCATTTCAAGCCAGTTGTCACAAAGACCCTGTTTTTGTTTTTTTTCACCAACTCTCTTGGTTCAAATCCAGAGCTCATCATCCTGAACTACTGCCTTCCAAATGGACTGCGCATCTATAGAACTTCAGCAAGGAAATGGCCAGACACAATGAGCTGCTTCCATGTATTTTAAAGCTTAAGTGGCGCCAAAGGGCTCCATTTTGGGGGTGGGGGAGGGTGTTAATGCCCATGGCAAACTCACAGTCTTCCTAGACCTGACTGGGGCTCCTAAGAGAGATGGTGAGAAAAGATAAGTCCTGTGGCCAATGTATAGTGGCATCAGTCCTGGGAGGGGCAGGTTCCCAAGCTGACATTCAGAACGGGGCCTTCTGTTTTTAATCACTGGGCATGGTTAGAAAGTGAAATCAGGCAACACTTTTTCGGGGAATGGAGGTACTGATGGAAGCATTTAAATCTCCCTGAATGTCAGTGTTTTCTAATTATGATGGAGGAGTGGCAAGAAATCTCCAAAGACCATGGGAATTTGAAATATTTCAGCTCAACTCTGAATCTCATCTTTTCCTATTTATCATGTCTTCTTTCTCCTTCTCTGAACGTCTTAGAACCAACCTATTCCTCCATCACAAAGGGAAGCTCCCTCTTCCTGAAATCAGAATGTCTTTCCTAAGACAAAAGATCTTTTCCCTAAAAGGAAGCAACCACGTACAAATCAAAAATAAAATAGAAATCCATTTCTCCATCGCCACCATCTGTCAGGTTGCTAAGAGCTCAACTGGAGATGCAGATAATTTCTTAGCCAGGTTTGTCTGTTTACCAATGAAGTCCAATAAGTAAGAAGTGCCCCAGAGCCCATTCCAATTGAACAGACTGCTTACTGAGTATAAGGAAAATACTTGGCTAAGAACTTTGAGGGTAAACAAAAGTGAGTGATCACCTCATGGAGGTTAAAGTCCTTTAAAGGGGACAGACAGGACACGTACTTATTTAATTAAAATACAAGCTATAGGCTAAGTGTGCCAACTATAATTTAATACGGGTATCAGAAACTCAAGTCAGGGTGTGCTTCAAAGATCCTCGAGCCTTATGCTGATCTTAAGCAGACCCCCCCCTCTGCTGCCATTCCTTACATAAAGAAAAGTCCAGACATCCCTGAACCAACAAATTGGGGAAACCACTATTTAAAAAACTCTCGTGAAAGCAAGAAGAAAGGAGCCTGGGCCCTGTTTGATTTATTATTTAATTTATCTGTACTTTTATGTGTTTAAATCATGTGACTCCTATGTCCATAAGACCATGGATCACATACCTTGTTTGGGTTTTTGAATCTTTTGATTTTAGATCATAAACTCCTAGTAGATAAGCCTGTAACCTGCTTCATACTTTCAAAATACAAGATTGATTTGATGACCCTGAGGAATAGAAGTTGAATCATTCACCAGGGAAGAACTAGTTCCTGATTAATAATAGCATTCCTTCCTGCACAACAACACGGCCATGAACAAAATACCTCTCGCACCCACCTTGGAGTGGTTTCCAGCCAAAGAAACGCATTTGTATTCCTCCAGCTACACCCTCTCAGCTTGTGGAAACAAGATAACTGGCTGAATTTCTGGGTCACCAAATCAGTAATGTTTGTGGAAATGACCAAAAAAAAAAGCAGGCACCTGAGTTGCTAATATTTTATAGATGAGTAAGTCCAGCAAGGAAAATTATATAAAATTTTGTCATCTCTGTGCCTTGTTTATAATCAATGAAAACCCATCGTCTCTGATCTTCATTTCCAAATGCGGGCCTTGTCACTCAGTCTGAAGTGTGGTTTTTCTTCAGACAATGTCCAACTTCTTTTACATTTTCCCAGCATTTCACTTTCTCAGTAGCAAGTGTCACAGAGACATTGCCCAATCCAAAATATCCTCTGCAGGAGAACAGAAAGGAGGCTAGTAAGGGAATCCAAAGAAGTGCTTAGAGATGTGGACCTGTTCTACATTCCTCACATTAATACATTATTTTAGCTTCTCCATGAAGGTCTTCTAAAACGTGTTCTTCTCGTCTCTGAAGAACATCACCTTACTTCACTTGGAATAACGATTTAACATTAGAACATGGGAGGACTTAGAGCAGGATTGTCCAACTTCCTACCATGATGGAAACATTCTCTGCATTTACATGGCCACCATTAAACACAGTGGCTACCAAATACTTGAAATGGGACTAGTGAAGATGAGGAACTAAATCTTAATTTTGTTGAATTTTAATTAATTTTAATTACCTCATGTGGTTGGTGGTTACCAAATTGGATAGCACAGCCTTGAATCTTAAAAATGTCTTTTCACTGTAATTCTGAACAGATGGCCATTTCACTCCTACCTGACTTTGTCTAGTGAGAGGGGTCCACACTCTCTCAGAATCCTACCTATTGGTGAGTAATTCTATTGGAACCAGCCCTCACTTTACTTATGAATTATGTATATGCTTCTGTCATTCAGACATAACATTTAGAAAACACTTATATTTTCTTTCTCTCTTTCTTTCTTTCTTTCTTTCTTTCTTTCTTTCTTTCTTTCTTTCTTTCTTTCTTTCTTTCTTTCTTTCTTTTTTCAAGGCTGAGTCTTGTATCCTCACATGGACACAGTGGTAGAGAATTTCTGTCTTGCCTTATGGTTCACACTTCTGTGATTCATTCTTTTCTGGGGGCCATGAGAACATTGGTGGCCATATTTCTATTCTGATTTGGTATGAATCCATGTCTTTTCACCTAATTCTTGAGTTTGTCAGGGAAAAGTAACTTGACTCTTGACAGGGGGCAGGAGGAATTGTGTTCCAAATTTTCACTTCTCTTCTCTCTTCTAAGAAACTTCCAAGTTGGTTTAGAGATTAGTCCAAATATCTGTCCCCATTTCCCACTGACCTGCTGTGTGGTGCAGGAGCTAATGCCAAAGTTCTGTGGGTCTCAGTGTCCTTACTTTAAGTGGGGAGGAATCTCCTTTTCCTACTTGGGAGGATCAAATCATAATAACCACAGTGTTTTGAAAAATATGAAGTACTCCAAATGAAGTTGATGCTATTTGTGGTAACACTTCAAAGATGTAATCTACAATCCTTGCAGATGTCTTTCTGAATGTTGAAGTCAATAGACATAAAAATTGTCATTCCATAAATCTAAATCTCCCAAATTGGGCACTGTTCACAAGTAGAAGAGAGGGCACAAAGATTATCAGCTTTAGGAATGGTACATCTCTCAGGTTTCTGGTCTCACAAATGGAGAAATGCAAATTGAGAAAAGTAATTTTAAGAGACTGAGATGTGAGGAATGGGAACAAAATAGGTCATACCTGCTAAACCGCTCCTAGTAAGACTTTGTGTTTTGGATTCCACTGGCTGGAAAGAAGAAACAACTAGAGAAGGCAAAACTCCTCAGATTGTTCTTATTATTTCTTGTTGCTGGTCTTGATAAATGTGCCTTGGTGAGTGTCTGTATTTTCTTAAGTAGCACAGACTTTTGGAACAAGATGGTGAAGGTTGAGCTTAAGTTAAATCCAAACTGTACGTTACAATCCATTTGTTTATTTGGTTTTTGAGTCCCAAATGAACTATTCAATTTGGAAAAGGGCAAAATGGGTTGATAAATTGATTTTTTTTAAAAAAAAAAGGACAAAAGTTCATTTTCTACAGTCCAAAAGCAAATTCTGCCAGATTTACTGTGTAACTACTGCAAATGTGGGTTTATATAACTTCAGAGATTCATATTAGTCTAGTACCAGGGTCTTTGATTTATTTTGTAAATACTGATCAGTCAGTAAAATACAAAGATGAATCAGCTTAAGTTACATTTCCCAAACTCAAAATGTAAACTCTAGGGGCTCAAATCAGGTAGAATTCCTAAGTGCCTTTTACATCCTAATTGCAAAGGGTTTCTTTTTAAAAAGATTATATATATATATATATATATATATATATATATATATTCATAAATAGCCTTCAGACAAAAGTATATGAAAAGTAAAATACTATTGAAAATATTTACATGCTATATAAATAAGATAATTGATGAGCTGTGGCAAGGAGGGGGTTATTGTTTATCAAAATGAACTATGGAGGTTCAAGGAGGAAGATGTCATTTTCAAGTGAAGATGCTCAGGCAAAGCATCTGAAGGAGGTTAAATCTGAGCTAGAAATTAATGACTAGATAGAATATGGGTAGTGAGGAGGTGAGGAGAGTCATTCTAGATGGGTGGAATAGAGTGACTTGTTGAGAGCCACAGCCGAAGTGGCCCCAGCAAACTTCCAGCTGCCAGCTGATTGGCTCCTCTGTGGTGATGCTCATTGGGCTGTTTCCCCACATGGGCCACCAAATGCCGCAGTCTGGCTGGGCACAATTCATGAGCCACTTGTCAAGCAGAAACGAACTTTATTTTTAGAACACACACTGCACCACACAGCTCTTCAGGAATTCCCTCAGAGCCCAACTGCCACCACTGGCTTCCGGTGAGCCTCTCAAACCCCACTCCTCCCACTCTTGAGGCCTATTGGCTGGGTCGTGTGGGCAGAGTCAAAAGAGTCCCCCAATGAGCAGCTCCGTGGTCTGAAAGGGCCGGGAAATGAGCATCACCACAGAGGAGCCAATCAGCTGGCAGCTGGAAGTTTGCTGGGGCCATTGTGAGCCAATCAGCTGGAAGTAATTAATGACTAGATAGAATATGGGTAGTGAGGAGATGAGGAGAGTCATTCCAGATAGGTGGAATAGAGTGACTAAAACACTATAGAAAATATAAGATATATTTGAAGGGCAATCAATTTTTATTTTTAATTTAGGATGTCATGGTATTATCAGCTCGGAAGGAAAGGTAGTTAAATGAAGCATCAGTGAGTTGTAGTAATGACCCAACTGAAACTAACATAAATATTTAGGGTTGATAAAACAAACAGGTTCCCTGACTTTCTGTCATAAAGCTTGGAATTCCAAGAACACAAACCAGAAAGTAGAGGATGGGTGCAATCCAAGATTGAACATGGGCTTGTGGATTAGTCCATTTTCTGCTGCTATAACAAAATACCCAAGGCTGGGTATTTAAAAAAAAAAAAGAGACTTGCTTAACTCACAGTTCTGGAGGCCCAGCATGGTGTCAACTTCCGCTCAGCCATTCCAGTGAAGACCTCATGGTGGATGGCATCACAATGTCAGGAGTACATGTGGTTGAGAGAGATCACGTGGCAAGACAGGAAGCCAGAGAGCAGAAAGGGGCCAGTATTGCTCTTTTATATTGACCCTGTTGAGAGAACTAACCAGGGTCTCATGAGCAATATCTTGATCCTTTTCCATAGGCAGAGCTCCCAATGACATTATGACCTTCTCCTAAGTTCTACCTCTTATAAGTCCCTCTACTTCTTAACATTGCCACACGAGGACCAAGCTTCTGGCACAAGAACACCAGGGGGACAAACCACATCCAAACTTTAGAAGGCTGGCAGAAGTTTAAAGAAATACAAGTTCAAAGACCTTTTCTGTCTTATTCATTGTTGTGTTCTGTTGCCCCTGTACCTGGTACATGGTCATGCTCTACAAATGTTTATGGAATGTCATCTGTATAAATGTTTCTGTGAGACTTCATTGAAGTAGTTGGTGCATGGAATTGACAGTGAATGCAAAACGACAGCTACTTCGTAAGGTGCATCTCATGGTGGCCAGGGGCATTGGAAGACTAGAGTCCTTTGTATCAGAAATAACCACGTTGAGGATGACATTATTTTGAGGAGAGGAGCAAGGTGTGTGACAAGGAAGGTGGAAGGCAAGAGAAGAAGCTTCTGAGATATCAAAGAAATGTATACCTGATGCTGTCGAATATATGACCATCCCCATCTGTGACTCTTACACAGACCATAGAGCGGCTCCATAAATATTGGAAAGGCTCATTTAACTGAGATCTCTTGTGACTTGGGAATTCTATGATTTAAATGCATTTGAAACTGAAGGCAGGGGTGATTTTCAAGATCATTCTGACCTAAACTCCTAAGATATAAGAATTAAAGTGGAGAGTGCTAATGATAGTCTTCTCAGAGCTTCTCTGGGCCACTCTTAAATGTTCCCTGAAGCAGAGAACGATTTCCAGGGGGAAAATGTGAATCAGTCCATTTTGAAATTCTGTAAAATGTGGATGATAACAGCTCCCCATCTGTGCGTGTCTTTCTTTGTGCCAATTTTCCCCTTTTTATAAGGACACTCATTATTTTGGATCAGGGTCCATCCTAATAATCCATCTTGACTACATCTGACCTTATTTGGAAATAAGGTCACATTCTGGGGTGCAGGAGGTTAGGACTTCAACATAATTTATTTTGGAAGAGGGCACTGTTCAATCCGCAGGAGAAAGTGAGGGCCAGGGTAGGGCACAGGGAGTAAATGAGAGCTCTGTACTTCCTATTTAGTTTTTCACTGCTCTAGGAAATGAAGTCTGTCAATCAAAAATTTAAAAGATTTAAAAAATGGTCCATCCGAGAGTACATACTCAGATAGTAGACACTCAGTGAGTGTTATTTACTTTTGGAGGCCGTGTTAACTTACTCAGTGTCCCTGATACAAATTTTACTCTTGGTGTTCTAAGGCCAATATTGGCAATATCCCCAAACCCCAAGGACCACCCAAGACCCACATATATCTACAGGGGGTCACAATCCCATAAAGGAGTAAACAACTCTATGAATATAAAACATCATAGAGTATTTCTTGGTTTAAAGACACCTATCTGAAATTAAATTAAAAATTTTAAAGTTAGATAAATAAATAAGTACACTTTAATTCTCAACACAGGGAGGAAGTTGGAGAAGAAAAAGAAGTATCAGAGAAAGAAAAGCAAACAAAACATAAACAAAAAGCATAAGAAATACTACTAAAAATTCCTTTTTTTTTTTTTAGTACCAGGGATTGAACCCAGGGATGCTTAATCACTGAGCCACATCTCTAACACTATTATTATTATTATTATTATTATTATTATTATTATTATTATTTGAGACAGGGTCTCACTAAGTTGCTGAGGCTCGCTTCAAACCTATGATCCTCCTGCCTCAGCCTCCCTAGCTGCTGGGATTACAGGCGTGCACCACCACACCCAGCAATATTTTACTCTTGAAAAAAAGTAGAGAAGGAAAGAGAAGAGGCAAAGATTCAGGAGGCCTTCAGGGCTGGCCAAATATTCAGGGACACGCTTCTTGTCACATCTTGCCATTCACCTGGACCACAAGCTTTTTCCAAAAGGCAGGACAGTGTGCTAAGTGATTTGAAACCTGTAACAGTGACCTATCACTTAATTACCATAAGAGTGTCCTGTTTAAAGAAAATCCAATACATGAGAAACCACACTGGACACACAGATAACATTGGTGGGCAATGGGCAATGGTTTATCTGCCTTTGTAATGGGCTTTTTTTTTTTTCTGTTTTCACTTTATAAAAAGAGTCACATCAGAGGTCTTTCAATAACATAACTACAACTGTCCCCACACACAAATTTTGATTTTTGTAAAATTTTTCAAGAAGTCCCCTGTCGCATACATCGATGGATACCTCCTCCTCGGGCCTGCCTTTTCCTTTCCTGCTGCCTGTCTATTTGGTACGCCCGAGAGCTTCGTGGTTTTCAGAGTCTCTCTGGGTTGACATTTCTTCACTTCACTGCTTGAGAGTTTTTGTTTCCTAACCAATGTGGCTGGAAAGAATTCAACACTGACTGGGGGCAGGGGAGGAAATGAGGGATTACCAGCTGGGGACAAGGAAGCTGCTGCTCCCAAAAGAGAAGAGAAAATTTTTAAAAATCATGATTCTACCTAGACCTGGCTCCTTGTACACAGGGATAGTGCAAGAGACCTTCAGAGGAGCTCTGGGAGGTAGAGTGTGTGGCTGAAGGGAGACCTCCAGCCCCATCCCTGGAGACCCACCAAGATCAATCTTCATACACATCCACCTTCTGTCCCTCATGCTGCACACACACACACACACACACACACACACACACACACACACACACACACACCAGCCGAGATTCACACCACACGGTGCACAGATGTGTTTTTGCTCTGTCTTCTCCCTCACTTGCAGCCACCCAATATCCACGCAGCATAAGCCAGAAAGGCTCTGGTCTGAAGCACTGCAGGCAACACCAGCTCCTTCTCTCTTTTTCTCTCCTTTCTCAGTGCCCCCACCTCACTCTGAGCTGCATTCCAACCCTAGGGAGCTTTTCTATGGTTGGAAAAGAACAAAAAGTGCCCAAGGATTCACTAAAAGGTGAGGAGTAGGAGGAGAGAATGGGTACAAGAAAAGGAACTCACAGAGGTAGAGATCCAGCAAGGATGGCCCACCAAAGTGACCATGAGATGCTGGTCGGTTGCACTTGCCTTTGAGTTCTGCAGGATATCACCCACCTCTGCAAATCAAGTGCATCGGGGCCTCCTGGGATGGCCTGTTTCTTAGCACCTCCAAAAGAGGTACAGGTGGAGCCCTGCAGGAGGCAGGTACTCTCCAAGCTACCTGGAAAATTCAAGAAAAGTAAAATAGTTTGCTGTCAACAGACTTTTCTCCCATTTCTGTTTGCTGTCGTTATCATTATTCAAGAGGCTATTTTGAGGGTAACAAAAGACTATATTGAAAGAAGAAAAGAGACAACCCACTCCCTCACTGGACCCAGCCAGCATTTGTACCCCAAATTGGGTCCCCACCATCCACCCAGCTGCCTCACACATCAGCACTGTGGTTGGAACAGGAGCTCGCGCCAGGAAAGAAAGACTCTCAGACAACCTTGTAGAGGACTTCAAGTTGTTTATTTTTTTTCATTCTAATAATTATGGGGAGATCAGACCCAAAAGTGTAGAGAAATGCATTTATGGTTGATAAAAAACAACAACAACAACAACAAAAAACCTGGTTGGCTTCTTCATCACCAGCCAGTCTTAGGAAGTCCTCTTGGTCAGAGTGAAACAGAAAAACAGATTTCCAACTTTAAAACCCCCAATAATTTGAATTCCTAAAGATTTCTGATGCAACTTAAATAATACCCTTGAGGATAAGAAAAGTGTCTATGTGGGGGGTAATCAAACATCGTATGTTGTTGTTGTTGTTGTTTGAGAGTTGGGTTTTTTTTTTTTTGGCTGAGATTTTGTTTCTGTTTTTGTGGTGATTTTTTAAGAGAGGAAAAAAAATACATCTTGAAGAGAAAAGAATTTGACACTTTATTTAAGAAAGTTTCTGCCACTTGGCTTCAAAACCTAAGCTTTGCTTTTAAGGATGCCATCAGGTGATGGCTTGGGGCTTTCACAGCGCCTGATTTTCTTACGCAGGGCAACTGGCTCATCTTGTGTGCACAGAAGGGGCTGGAAAATATTTTTTTTGTGATCGGGAGTGCAGCAGAGAGCCTAGGATTCCAGAGGAAGTGGAGACCTCCCGCTCCACACAGGAAACGATCTCGAAGCAGGCTTTAAATGCCAGATTCCAGGCTGAGTTTAACTAACCACTGACAGCTCTGTAAACAAAGCAAGGACAAAAAGAGCCCGCTTCCCCTTTCCCGGTAGTCATTTTGGGTTTGGGGGCTGCAGGGGAATTCTGGAAGGCTTGACTCCATGGCACAGAAACACAGGGGAAGCGGGCTCCTTATTTGAAGAGCTTTGGAGAAAGAACATCTTTCTGGACTTAAAATCATCACGGAGGAGGTAGGAAAGGGTAAAATGGTTGGATTCCATCTGTAGAAAGAGCCGGGATTTTTGAGCTCTAAAACCAGCTTGGTCACAATTTAACTGCTTTTAAAAACACTGCTTTGTGATGTTTATTTTCAGCAAAATTATTGCTGCAGTCATTATTCAAATCCTGATGCTAATACTTTGAGAATATGCAAATGATGCCTAGATCTATGCCGTACCATTCTATTTCTCCCTTACTTAATTCCTTATTTCTTTTCTTGCCACTTACACTCCCCAAACACACTTTTATGTGCACGTGCACACATGTGCACACACTCTTTTCTGTTTTTCTCTTTCTTTGTTCACTTTTCCACAATTTTTGTCTGGGATTCAGCCAATTACCAAGAACAAAAATTATTCAGTAGCTCTCAGGTTGTTCTACCATTATGTCAAGTCTTTAAAGCCTCTCTGTCTCCTCGGGTCTGTTATTATTATCATTTTTAATGTGATCCTGGGATCTTACTTATTTGTTTCTAATAGTTTCAGAAATGAGAGTGGCTTTAACTCAGCTGGGGAGTCAGAAATTGATCACTAGCTATCCATTATCAGTCTTCTATGGTATTTTTCTTAGGAGGAAAGAAAAAAATGAAAAACTGGAGGCAGGGTTAAAGCCATGCCCAGGAGGTACTAGTTGAACTCATCCATGATACTGACTCTGCTTCCTTCCTTTTAGATCCAGACACCATCTGGTCTCCCTAAGACTGAACCCACACCATGGATGATTTTGAACGTCGCAGAGAACTCAGGAGGCAAAAGAGGGAGGAGATGCGGCTGGAAGCAGAAAGGTAGAGATCCAGGTGGACACAGCCTTGCAATTCATGATTCACACTGTTGGTTTCAGACCTCAGAGACTGTTCCCTCTGAAGGGACAAATGTGGCCATATTTCATGCCAAACTGTTTGCAGAAGTAGCTGAGAGACATTTTCCCTAACTGTTAAGACTAAATCTTGCATTAAAAAAAAAAAAGAAGAAAAGAAAAATCTTGGAGAAGAATCAAATAGTTGTGTTTAATCGGTGCTTTTCATGGGAGAACTTTGAATGACAGACTACATGTGAATAGTGGTTTTAAAAGTACTGATGACACTGAGATGATAGGAAAAAATGCCAAATATTGAGTATTGGAAACATTTAGGAAATGGGGTTTTTTGTCCAAAACAGTAGAGACAGAAAGCCCCAGGTGAATCTTGTGATAATTCTTTTTTCTTATTAGAAAAGCATCCAAGTCAGGTATCTGTGTAGTAAAGGTTGACAGCCAGTGAACTGTATTACCATGGAGATTGTGGGTGTGGTTGGAAGCAGTTAGTGCTGTACCGGTGACCTTAATGGCAGGTTGGGGGGATAAAGTATTGGCCTATGACATACCAGGCATAGATGTCTATTTTAACATTTTAGGCCTCACAGCAAAAGACAGTGGCATTTAACATGGCTAAAAATCAGATGTTCTTTTGATAGTTCAGGAGTTTTCTCCTCTCATAAAGAGTTGTTAATTGTCCCTCTCATTTGTGATCACAGGAAGAAAACTGTTAAAACACTGCTTTTAAATTCAAACCAGTTTTGCTTCCCAATTGTCCCCAGTGCACAGATGAAAAGATGGTGGCAAGAAGATCCCCTCACGATCCTGCAGTAGGAAATTGAACTTCTACCTGTAGCAAAAAGTACTGAGGGCTTGATTTATATAAAAAATGAAAAAGAAGATAAAATGTCTGCCTTGGATTGACTTGGCCAGGGTGGGTTGCCATTCATGGAATGTCTGTGCACGTACACATGGCCCCATGGATGGTACCTGTGCGCTATAGGACCAAACCCTAGCTCTGTTACCTAGCCCGGTTACCATGAGCAAATGACTTCTCTTTAAGCCATGATTGCCTTTATTTATCAAATAGGCATGATATTTATGTAGCTTGTATGGTTGTCAGGAAGATTATTGAACTTCCTAAGTCACTTTGCCCACTACCTGGCAAAAAATACCATGAATGATAGCTTTTGTTATTATTATGACTAACCATTATTACTAGTTAAACAAGTGAAAAACAACATAGTGATAGAGCTGGAAATAAATATTACTGCCAAGAGAAGGAAGGGTAGTCATTATCCTGGGACACAACTAGTCAGAAAAAGCTTTTTGTAAGTAGCAAGGAAGTGTTAGAGGAAATGTTGATGGTGATGAGGAGAGAAAGGAAGGCTCTCTAGGAGAGGAATTGATACCACAGAAGCTCAGAGGGGAAATACGAATCCTGGTACAATAAACCTGTCAGGTGCTGGAGGAACAGGGGTTGGTCTAGTACATCCTCAGTGTTTCATGTTAAAGGAATAGAAAGAGACCTAACGAGGGAGTTATGTGGGTTAAAGTGTGTTGGGAAAAATCGTCTTATAGTAGACTAGAATATGGAGATCCCTGTGCCCGTAGAGTTCATGTTAAACTTAAGGTCATGGGGGCCTGAATCGGGAAAGTGACTTTGGAAATGGAGAGAGGTCACAAATGAGAGGGACAATTAACAACTCTTGTATGAGCGGAGAAAACTCAAAGACAATTCCAGAAGCTGTCAGCCCAAGGAGCTGAAAGGAAGGTTTCTCACTGTCCTCTCTGGGCAAGCAGGGAAGGATTCCATTCTGGATGGTCTTGGGAATAGTGTTTAATTTCAGGTAAGCTTTATCCAAATGGAGATATCCTCCCAGGCACTTGGAGACAGGGAATGCCAATCTTCATTCAGAAAGGAAGAGAAATTCTTATTAGAAAAATAAATCTGGGCAAACTTCATATGATGGTTGTAATGGTGGTGGTGTCAAAGCTGAAGTGATATCCCAAGAAAGCAAGTGTGCAAAGAGTGAAATGTCCTAAAGACATAATAGAAACCATCAACAGAGACAGAAGATCGGGAATTGGGGGAGAAGCAGGCAGGGGATGAGGCCCCGTGGTGAGTGGACCTCAAGGCCGATAGGCAGTGTCTGGGCTGTGCTGTTTGGGACTCAGGTTCTCCTGACAGTCTGCAGAATATTCTGACCCAACCAACACTTATTAACCACCAATCAGGTTTCAGTGTCTGTTCGAGGGATGTGGGAAATAATTCTGATACATGGAAAGACATAGTTTTTGCCTTCATGGATCTCAGGACATGCTAGGAAACCACGGGTCAGGCCAGAGCGCAGGGGCCTGACAGAGTCAAGGCTGATGGACTCAGGAAGGGGGACATGGCTATGAGGCACCGTGTTAGATCATCAGGTTGGTTTCTTCAGCTTCTTTGCTTTCTACATCAATAGGGGGCGAGTGAATCACTGTGAGAGGAATGACAGAACCAACTTGCTGTGGTTAGAGCCAGGCTGTGATTAGAATGAATAAGCCACATTTTTTCAGACTCAGGACTTTGCTGAAGAACTGACCACATAGAGCTACTCCATTGGTTTCGTCGGGTTTTATGTTTTTCATTTTGTTTTTTAAATTGTGTGTGTGTGTGTGTGTGTGTGTGTGTGTGTGTGTGTAAGGATTTGTCTTCTCTTGATGTCATTCTTAAATAAAGCTTAGTGTGGTACCCTTAATAACATCAAATAAATTCACACAAATTTATCCTAACCTTTTTTGCTCACATTTCTGTCTGCATTACTTCTTTTGGTGTATCATGTTCCATTTGTTTTCTTCTCTCTCTCTCTCTCTCCCTCCTCTTTATTTCTTTATAAGAGAGAGAGGTAAAGAACTTCCTTATATTTGTACTAAGTTTACCTTTCCATGTTTCAAGGTGGACCTTCAGTTCTGTTATTCTAGCAAGTCCATGTTCCCCTGCAGGCTTTTATAAAACCTGATCATTCGCAGGAGCAGCACAGGTCAGGCCTTGTGGTCCAGCCAACTTTAGTGGGAAAGTGCAGGGTGTGTACAGGAAACAGATGGCCAGAACCAGAAAGCCAGGGTCGTCTAAAATCATGGTTCTGATTTGAAGACAAAGAGCAAGTGGGACCCTGGGCAAGTCCTCCTTCCTTTAGGTCTAGACCTTGGCTTCCTCCTGTCACACAAGTGGGTGTTTCCTCAAGGGAAGTGATGGTCAGTTTAAATTTTCTTTTGCTTTTAGGATTGTCTAAGTTTTTGTGATGATCTTATATTACTTTATTTTAAGACGAATAAACCATGACGGTTTTCCATACCCCTCCCCCCCAAAATAATGATATTTCTGTGACTCTGTGAAGTATACCTAGTACCAGACTGGAGCAAGCCTAACTTTTCTTTGGATATAGGGACCCAAAAGAAAGCACTTGTCCCAGATCTGGAATGGCAGTGGAGTATATTAGCCAAAATAAGTGGTTCCAAGACTCAGGGTCCATGCATTCATCCTCAACACATTTTTATTGAGCATCTATTCTGCTCCAAGCTCTGAGTTCTGGGTTCAAGGCACTGAGAATAGACTAAGAGAATGACAAAAATGGAAAGAGCTTGCTTTTCAATCTAGAGAAAGCCAGGTAGTGATCAAGAAACTATATTTTTATCACTTAATATAATGTGTACCCTGATATTGGTTCACACATTAAAGATGACTTCTACCTTTGCATGCTGCACCTCTGCATTCCTGTGGGGGAAGGGGACCCCACAGAGAAGAAAAAGTCCATTGACCTTCCTTGCCCACAGAGGCTTTTCTAATAAAATACCGTGTTGTTTTAATTTGTTGTCATCCAGTTTGCAGTGATAAATAATTTAAAGTTGTTCTCTCACTGGTTGTCGTAACCACAAATTAAAACAGGCCAGATTTTTAGACATTTTATTCTTCAGAAATAGAATTTTTAAATACCATTTTAGAAAACAACTAATTGCACATGTATACTTAGCACGTGGGGGCTTTCATGTGCCTGGGGCTGGAATTCACTTACTGCACCACGGCTGCCCCAAGCTCTGCCTTGCACAGATCTCATTCTTAGGTTTGAGCCCAGTCCATCTTGAATGATCTAGCTTTCCAACAACCTAGACTGCAAACCTAGGTCACTGAAAATATGCTTCCCCTCTTAGTCTTGTCCCCGAGCCTGCTCAATTTTTATGCTGGTCATGATATCCTTGTTCTTTGGCTTTCACACTGTAGGTTTTTGAGAAGAGGTCATTAGATTTGGTAAAAAGAAGGTACTTCATTCAGTTATCAAATATATATATATAGAATATCTACAAAGTGCAAGATCCTACACTGAACTATGGAGACCCATGGTCTCTAGTAGAGGCCAGATGTCAATAATCACAAAGCTCACCTCCTAGAGTCATCTTAACCCAAAAGGGAATAAAAATACTTCACTACACAGAAGGAAATATGCAGGTAATCAGTGAAAATCCGTAATGCATTGTTCCTAGCAAAAGTCATTATTTGTACACATCTCATAAGAAACTATTTTTCCATCAATTACCTGTTAGAATGAATGAATAAATAAAATTTTAGTTTTGCTACATTTGTTCTCCATCTCTCTTATAAGAATAAAACCTTACATAGATTTCTTCTTCTTTCCTTTCTGTTTCTCTTTTCTCTCAATCCCCCTCGCTCTCTGCCTTCATCTCCGTATTCCTCAGTGCACCCTTATGTAATTTCCTGAGGTCTCTGTGCATCTTCACCAACACTCGATTCTTTGGTCTCTCTCTCTCTTCCTATATATACTCCTGAACCATCTATGCATGCACATGTGTTTGTGTCATAAGAGAATACATATATATAGTGGGAAGGAAAGGGAAGACATTTTCCAAGGGGTCATCTAGCTCTCTTTCCAGTCAACAAGTACAAAAAAGTGCTAGGCCTTTTATATGCATCTAGTAAATATGGACCAGCAATGGCACCAGCAATACATATGTCAGAATGGAATACATGTATTCTATATAAAGGAAGGACCACCAGGAAGTGTAATGGTCAGAGACATATATCGTAGTTAGGGGCATGGGCTGTAGCCTTAGGCAGCTGTGGTTCAAATTGCAGGTCTGCCATTATTAGCGGTCTAACTATTCACATTATTCAGTTTTTCAAAACTTCTATCTCCTCCTGTGTGAAATGGGCAAAACAAAAGTATCAACTTCATTGGGTTTGTGTGGGAATAACTGATAATTCAAGAAAGTATTAACAAAGCCCTAGTCATTGAATGAACATTCCCTACCAGTAAGCATCACTAAGAATTATTATTACCTAATTTAATTTTCTGCAATTCAAAAAGAGAAAAGAAAATTTAAAAACATGAAAGCAATTCTGTATTTTTCTCAGAAGAACTCTGGGAACAATGAAAAGCCAGAATTTGCTATTGAATAAAGAGAGTGTCAGTGGGTGTGACAGGTAACAGGGCCTGAGGAAGGATTGTGTCCTCTCTGCCAGAAGAGGTAGTGCCAATTCAAGTGGAGCTGTTCTTTTGAATTTGGCCAAAAGGATTTTGAGCTTTGGTGTCTCTTCCGAGAACCCTGCAGTGATGTTTTTATCCATGAGGAAATCTGCAGTGGACATACTTGGCCTGATGTTGACTTGGCTTTCACCACGAGCAGAGCTCTCTCACTTTTCAAGGCCTGAACTCATTACATCCCTTCCGCGTCCAACGCCAGCTCCTCTTTCTGATCAGAAGAAAGGCCCCTATTGTTGTGTTATCAGATTCAGAGGCCCATGAGCATCAATAAAGGGAATCAGAACACTCCTGCTATTGTCATCATTCATACATTTTTATGGGCTTCTGAAATATCCTGATGATTAGACATTTAAAAGTAAATATTTTTACTGCACTGGAGAAACAAGCGATTTTTAAAAATCCATTGAGTCCATGAAATCCCCTTCCAGAACTGTGTCCTGGAAACTTTTGCATGAGATTCAGTAGCATATGGCAATCGATGATTAGACTACACCCAGGCACACACAAAAGCACTTGTTCAATATGCTTAAAACATGACCCTGAAATTTTCAAATAAAAATATTTTCAACTTTTTTTTTGTTATTTTATAATCGGAACATGATTTTCCATTAGAGAGTTAAGTAAAATATTGCTTTGAAACTGTCTAAATCTTTAAAGTAGCTGGATTTGCTCAAAACTTTCCTTTAGTGTCTTCAGAAAATCGATCCCTCCAGGGGAGGGTTGGCATTCATTATCTAATTTTCTTTATTTTGAATTAAAAGAAAATTAACTTTTAATTTCTCCAGTAATTGGCTTGAAAGAGACTTTAAATGATGTCTGTCAAGTTTAGTTTTCATATCCAATATTATGTAGGTTTGGTACAACTTAAATGTAGGGACATGCATAAGGTGAGGTAGCTGATTCCCACCAAAGCAATCTTCGTGTCTAGCCACATAAGAAGAAAACACATAAAGTCTTGTGGATCCTCCTTTTCCAGTTTTTTTTTCACTCTAAATTAACTGTTTATTACCTCTGCCAATTTGACCTGCCTATATCAATTTCCAGTAGCCTAATAATTCCTCTGCAAAACATCAGAAGCTCAGGATCTACCCAAAGTGGCATTTATGCCCTGACTAGGCCTAAACTTTTAGTATAAAACAACTGAAAATCTTGGTTCTTAAGAACTTCCATGCTAATCCATAACTTCATTCTCAGTTGAAAAAAATGCAGCCTATCTATGAGTCAGGATACTTAAAACAGTGGTAAACTTTTCTGAACTGTTTCTACATGTGACTTTTATAAGTTATCAATCTTCTGCCACAGGGGGTGGAGCAGAATGACATGATAGTCAGGTGTGAGAGTGGTGAAGTCTGCATTCAAATCCTGGCTGGGACAACTATCATTTACAACTATCATTTGTGTTACTTTGACAAATTATTTAAACCTCTCTTGTTTCTATTTATTTACCTACAAATATAGGAATAATTATATCTGTCTCACACGGACATTGTTAAGACGAAGCTATTGATCCATATAGAGAGATCTACACAGTGACCAACATATAGTATATACTCAATAAATGTTAGGCATTATTATTAAAATCACATTGATGTTTTAGTAGGCCTTCTATAGAAAATAAAATTTTATTTGAATTTGAATTTGATGTCTTTGCTGGCTCAGCCATTACAATTTACTGTACCCTTACTGTGAAGCTTGTTTCCTATAGTGGTCTTGACACTTTCTAAGACGTTTCTGTTGAAGTTGGGAAAAAATTAAATCTTCTGGCTGGCTACCTGTAAGCTTATTGCACAAGTATAACCATTACATGCAAATTTCATAATCACACACTGTAGACATGTTCATTTTCAAATTCATTATTGAGATATCCTTTATTTTAAATATAATATCTCAGATAGTAAATATATTAAATATAAATATAAATTAATTAATATTACATATATTTATTTCAAATATAATATCTAAAACACCACTCAGAATTTCACTTTAAAAACTCAATTGATTTAGTAAAAATTGTTCTCAAGTGGGAAAAAGGACATCTGCCAAATGTTTCATTTAATATTTGAAAGAAAAAACCTTGGCATTTTCTTTAAAATAAATGGCATGCCAGGTTCTAGGTGATGTACTCTATATACATTATCTCATTTAATTGTCAAAACAAGCCTATGACCTGGATGTCATTATCCCCATTTTACAGCTGAGGAATCCATGGGTCTGGAAATTCAAAAAACATTCCAATTTCATATAGCAGAGAGTGCGACCCAGTTCTGCTTCCCTGCCCCAAGTCTCAGAACCTTTCCACTATAGCAATCAAGCAATGGAATATTTTTATGTCTCAACTGATTGTCTTGGCTGAGGGTCCATCGTCTTTATAATGGTAAAATAACTTCCTAAGACAAGGAGGAATCATTCACAGCAGTTATGTGGCAGCCGACTGAATGAAGAGCGTTGAGCCAGTTGAACTGTTCGTTATGCTTATTCAGGTAAATTGCTTACATGTGTAGACAGTCATTGTTTTCTTTGCCCTAAAAAAATAAAAATAAAAATAAAATTTCCCGTGTTATTCCCATTTCACAGAAAAATAGAAACAGAGGAGATCAGGTTTTCTTCCTCAAGCCAAAGAAGGCTGTTGGCAGGACCGCTTTTGACTTTTCCTGGGGTTTTCTGAGGAAGGCTCTATTCGCCATAAGGACAGGGACTCAGTCACATCAACACTCCTAAAAACTTCAGGCTGTCACTGACCTTGCATCATCTCCTGCAGTGGAATGTTCCTTTTGCACGTTCGGACCACACCTTCCTTACCTGGAAGCTCTGGTGAAAGGTATGGCCCCTTCTCCAAGAGAAATGCACATAGGCACCCACAAAATACAGCAGTAAATTCAGTGGCACTGTGGACCTCCCAGAGCCCATGAACTCAGGGCCAAGAATCCTTGATCTAATGAATTTGAGAAGCTTAGGTCCAAAGAGGTTGACCCCTTCAAGGCCACCCAGCTAAATTGAGGCAGGGTCTGCTTGAACAGTGTAGCCCCCTGCTTACGAGAAGGCACCCTGATTCTGCTGTCCACACAAAATGCCGATGGCTACTGCTTAGAAATTTCACTCAGACTCTCTAACCCCATGTGTTCATCTGGAGCCTACTTTGGGGAGGAGTTTATACTACAGTGTATTATTGCATATAGAACATGTTTACATTTCAAAATAGCTTATGGATAATATGTCTAACTAAAAGGAAATTAGACCAAATTGTGATGAGTAAAATAAAAAACAAACAAACAAACCATGCATGTAAATGTGTTTGTTGGGGGCAGAATAAGAACAGTTAAAAACTGGGGCTTGAACTTTGCCATCTGACATGAGAAGAGAAAAATATGGTGATTTTGCAACTAGAACCCTATTTTTCATCAATTTAAAATATCTTTTACTTGATATATGTCATCTTGGCATGATTTCTTTAAACAGAGCTTAATTATGGAACTAAGTTATTATGTCAGCTTTCTCTGTCCTTCCCAATTTCATTTTGGCAGTTCAAACTCATCCAAGGATTTTTCTCCCTAAATATTGAGAGAGAGAGAGAGAGAGAGAGAGAGAGAGAGAGAGAGAGAGAGAGAGAGAGAGAGAATTGGTCTGATTCCTTACAGAGGAATTCATATTTCACTTTCATTGCTACTGTCTTTGGAAAGAATGGGGTAGATCTGGAGTAGGACCCACACACTTGCCTTCCAGGAGTAGGATCCAGAGTCTTTCAGACTTAGGTTCAAACCCCAGCTGGGTTACCAAGGCTGATTTCACTCAGACTCTCTAACCCCGTGTGTTCATCTGAAAAGTGGCCATCCTAACAGTCTTCCTTCCAAAGTATCCAGCAGATTATAAAGCAACTTGTTCAGTGTAGTTTCCAAAACACGGCTGGCACTCAGCCAAGGTTACCTGTGGGTGTTTTTTCTGAGGGTTAGAAGACATGATGTGGAAGGAGCTATCAGAAAAGCCCTCTCTGAAGTCATCTCCTAGGGAATTTGGCTTCATGACAGCTACCTTCTGGGGTGTCACTGAACAAGAAAGGCACAGTCCCTGGGTCATTAGACAGCCTCAATCTAATCTCTACTCTGTTTCAAGTCTGTTTAGCAGCCACCTTAAACACGATGAGTGAATCTTCGATATGAAAGTCTCCACCCTGAAAAGAAATGCATCTCCTTATCCTTTTTTGAGGGAGTGGGTAACCAGGGATAGAATTCGGGCATCTGACCCTTGAGCCACATCCCCAGCCCTATTTTTTTTAAATATCTTTATTTATTTTATTTATTTTTATGTGGTGCTGGGGATTGAACCCAGTGCCTCACCTGTTTGAGGCAAGCATTCTACCGCCGAGCTATAACCCCAGCCCCAGCCCTATTTTTGAATTTTATTTAGAGACAGGGTCTCACTGAGTTGCTTAGGGCCTTGCTATTGCTGAAGCTGGCTTTGAACTTGTGATCCTCCTGCCTCAGTCTCCAGAGCCACTGGGATTATAAGCGTGTGCCACCATACCTGGCACACCTCTTTTTTTTTTTTTTAATTTTTCTTACTAGTTTGACATCAAGACAAAAACACAAGATAATCTGTTACCTAACATATCAAGCCTTTATCTCCATCATATATCCATATATAAAATATGTAATTCATCATATATTTTAAATAGATTTTTTGACTTGTGAAACTGTAATTTCTTTTTCATAATGCATAATCAGTTGTTTCAAAACTATTAAAGCAGCAACCCAATGTTTCTCAGCACCACTACAGTATACAGACTGTAAGCTAATAGTATATTTTTAAAAAATGCATATACCTAATTTTTACAAAATGACTTTGAAACATTTTATTCCGCATGGCTGAATGCATTCATTTTAACCATGGTAAAGCTGACACATGAAAAATAACACGAAGCAATATACATATAGAAGTCCTAAATCATTATAACATACATACCACTCCGCTGAAGATCTAGCACATTTTCGATTCCTTTAAACTCCTGCACAACCATAGCCAATCCCTCCCCTTGATCTCTCCACTCACAGCAATGGCTAGTGTCTTGTCTTGATTAATTCATTTATTTTAAAACAAAATTCTGAATGAAGTAATAGGAATTCAGGTGATAGTTTGTTTGTTTCCACGGCCCTATAACTGGGGCATTCCAAAAATTCATTCCAAAGATTCTTTCCAGACACCTCAGGTAAAGTTGTTAATGAGAACCCACTTCCCTGAGAGGGCAAGAGCTGTGCCTTTCTAAACACATAGGACACCAAAGGAGTCTACACTTGGGGAACTGAGGGAAGTATACAGGACTAGGAAAAAAAACATCCTTATCCAAAGACTGAAAATGTGATAAGGGCTCTCGGATCTTACCATTGAGTTGTCTCCTCTGCCTCTGGTTTCCTCTCTGATCAGCAGGTATGAGATATCTGCTTTCATTGCCAGGTAGAAATGGCAACAGGAATGATTTCAGAGCATTCCAGAATCTTCATCAAGGGAAATCTAGCTCAATTGCTTTGAAGTCTTTTAGGGAAGTTCTTGACCTTTGTTATCCCGAAGGTCCTTACTGGTGTTACCTGAAAGTAGCAGAGGGCACGAAGCAGGACCTACAGGCTGTGTATGTAGATTCTTAGGCACCTGTGGACAAGGTTAAAGAGGAGTCCTGAGCAGACTTTGTGAACAAAAATAAGTTCTTTTCACTAGTTATCTACATAATAATCAACATTCATCAGTAGTTGGAAAATTAGTTTTTAGACTATTGTAAATCAGCATTAACTCGGGCTTCTCTATATCTGAATTTTTCATCGTTTATTTGGGAACTGTAGTAAAAGTAAGCTTTGAACTATTTATAAATAAAGGATTTGATTAGCATGCTAAATATGTAAGCTACATTCCATGCCTTAGTTTTTAAACACCAGATATTACAACCTTTGAAACGTTTTAAATAACTTTACAAACATTCACTTAACATTTAAAAGCTAATTTCCTAATCATAAGTCATTTTTATTCGTTCACTTTTTTAAACAAGCCTCTGATGTTTTCCTACCCTGGTGAGAGTTACCAGGTATACTTGAACATTCTTCAGGACAGAATTTCTTTTAAAATATTGTGTAATTTATAATGGCCTTCCTTCCAGGTAGTCTAGATTAGTGAGCTCTGACATTACATTTGGTACCAATTGACTCTGTTAAAAATGTGAGGGTTTATTTTCCATTTTAATAACTCCCTACATCACATACAGTTCCTTTGTTGGAATAAAAATCTTGGTAAAGTACACATCTGCCACTATAAATAGCAGCCATAAGCCTGTGCATTCAGGAGTCTCCAGAGAGTGTATTTTAAACCCCAAATTGTTTAGAATAGGAAATTCTTCCACCATTCACATTTTCCATGGTGGGTGACATGGACTATTCCATGTCACATCCTCACTGGCTTCCATTTTCCTGTGCCACTTAGGAATCAAACTGACAGGTTCCAGAAGAGTGCTCAGTATGTTTTGTTTTATTTTTTTTTAATTTTCCTAAGGCTAGCTAGGTCTTATTGTCCTGTGGGAATTTTGCATACTTCTTGGGGCTCTCCAAGTGAAAGCTAGATAACTCCCAGAGCTGGCTTCAGCAATTAGGTCATGAAAGAGTCCTTTATTTCTGGAACTAGTAGCTCTGCTGAGCCTGCTTAGAATAACAGCAGTCAACCCATTTTGGATTCCCTCAGAAAACCTTGTGCCGTTGGCAGGTTTTTCTGGGGGAACTTAAGAGATTAATATGGAAAATAACTGAGCAGGAGGAAGTGGGTGAAGGGATGGGCAGCAGGAGATGAGGGGTTATTATCATGCTGGTGCAAAGACAAGAAGCATCATCAGGTATGATTGCACTGCACCTTTCCCAGGGCACTGTCGGGAACTGTGGTAGATGTGTATGTATCTCTGCCCATTCCTTCCTTAAACAATTCTTCTGTCTCTCCAATCAACACTATGTATAAATCTTGATTTTTCTTTTCCTTTTCAAGTGATGGACCATTTGGGCGATCTAATATTCATTTCTCCTTCCCTGATGCAGAAGATGAGAAAGAAACTACTATTTAGGAGTATTGGATAAAAACTTTGATGCAGAAAGAGTTGATACCAGATGCCTTTCTTACTGTTACCTCCTTGAATAGCCCTTAATTCTTTCTGCCTCACCATGAAAACTAACCTTTGCAATTACATGGGTTTTCCTTGAGCTGGCCTCTTCATGGTGTATCCTGACTAAACAAGGATTATCATTGCTACAGGTGCTCAGTGGATTCTGAACTGAACAGAATGGAGTTTCTGGAAAATTCAAGACTGAGGCAGGATAGAAATTCTCAAATCCTTTTGTTCCTAAGTGCCTCACATCTTAGTCACATGAATTTAAATTTTAGCATTGTGGCATCTGTCAGCATTTATGGTAAAGCTGAACTAACAAGGCATACCCTTTTAGAAAGGGGTCAGTTTTCCCCAAGATCTCTGTCTGAAGGCCAGAATTTATTGCTAGGAGACTGATCTTGGCGTCCTGTTGGGTTATGTGGTCAGAAATTAATATTGTCTTTCTTAAATTCTCTGAAAAGGGGTTGGACATTCAAAGCTACACGCCCAAGAGTACGGTCAGTGGCAGGTAGAATCTGGTAACTTTGTCTTTTACCCAACTCTGGGGCTTTTTCCTCTGTCTTATGCCTGCCCAGCTTTGAAGGTGTAGGTAAAAACTCAATCAATGATATCTAATTCCTACTAAGGAAACTACCTTTCAGATCAGGATAAAAGAAGAGACCCTGGCTAAATATCCAACAGATCTGGGCTTCCTCATCTATGAGACAAAGCCACCACTTCCTAGGGTGGGTGAGAAAATGAAGTGATACGTGGAAAAATACCTTCAAAAATGTATGGGGTGGGGGTTGGGGCTGGAGTTGGGGCTCAGGGGTAGAGCATTTGCCTGGCATGTGTGAGGCCCTGAGTTCAATCCTCAGCACCAAATATAAATAAATAAATAAAATAAAAAAGATCCATTGGCAACTAAAACATATTTTTAAAAAATAATGTACGGGGGGGGGGGGCGCATGCCATACCTTTATCATATTGAGGTGTCTGTGCAGTTGATTTAAAGCAGATTCTTTTCTGTGTATATGAAGCTGCAGGTTTCATTAGTCACGTGTTATGTTTCAAAGGAATCTTCACACTTAGGCTGCTGCCTAATGCCAGCTCACTCACCTGCAGGCACACCAGGCTCTCAAGGCTGAGGTACAGAGAAAATACTGTAAAATGTTACCTGTCACTCCTCCCTGAGCCTATCTCCTCTGAAAGGGGCTTAAGACCTCTGTCATAAATTAGAAAAAGGAAAACATTTTCATTGTCTCTTTCCCTGTAATTGTGACTCAAGGAGAAAATTCAAAAAATTTAAAATGATGGCTTTATCCTATTTGGAATGAGTATGCTATTTACCGAGAGAGCTATGCTTTGGGTCAGTTTACTTGTCTGGTTTTGCTTCTATGTTGGCAGAGGTGCTGCAGCTTTGAGGGATTCTGTGCTCCTCTACGTCATGGACTTCTCGCTCCCATGCCTCTTGAATTTGGGGAATGCTCCCTTACCTGGAATGTTCAGCCCAGCGGTCACCCTTTGGGAAAATCCTTCCCAGATGTCTTTGATCAAAGTGACTGGTTTCCCACATTGTCACACAGCACTTTTCATGTATATTAATTATCATCACCTATTTTAGGTCTGTATTTGTTCACATATCTGTTTTCTCCCTCAAATAGAAAGAAATACTAGATCAGAAACCACATCTTCCCCAAAGCTCAGACTACAATGTTGAATAGGCATCAATATTTCATTCACATCTGTATATCAAGGCAGAACTTTGCTAAGTGTGCTGAGCTATTTGAGAAAACAAAGAATTGTTAGTGGCCTTCGTGAAATCTTAGGGTGCTGACAGCATCAACCCCCTTCCTAAGGTCCCATCATTTCTCAGCTGAGCCTTCAAGTCATTGGAATCTTGATTCCATTATCTTCTTCTCCAGTTCATCTCATGTATTTCTCTGATTATTAAGGATAATTAGACTTTTACATCAGAATTTTGACCATTTATGTTTAGTTTTATTATGGGGACAAATGATATTAACAGAAGAGTCAAATTCCTTTTATTGGCTTTTTGCTCTGATGTCTAAGCCCTTAGTATCATTTTCCATCAGCATCTATATGTAAAATCAGGTGATCATCCAATTACAGGGTTCTGACCAAACCCTCAGGAGTTTAGCAGTGAACAAGCTGTATAATCAAACCCTTCTCTAATGAAAGACCAAGTGTGTGGTTGGGAAGAGTAAAGTGTTGCATTTAATTCTATGAAATGGGAAGATGTAGACAAGGGGTGGGGTCAACCTCAAACTAGTGTTTATCAACTATTTCTGAAATAGAGAGTGTCTAATGTACAAGTTGGGTCCAGAATTTAGACTTTGTGTGTGTGTGTGTGTGTGTGTGTGTGTGTGTGTGTGTGTGTGTGTGTTTGAACTATTTGAAAGTAAACAGAAGATGTGAGATTTTGCCTTTAAATTCCTCCAGTATACTTCTGTAGTTAAAGATATTCTTTGATATAATATTTTAAACTTAACTTTATGATTTCCTCATATG